TGTCAGGCTTTTGGCTGTGTGAGACCATTGGAGGAGCTTTCCAAAAGCTTCCGTAAACAAAGCAGTGTCCGTCGGGGTTGCCCACTTTCTCCATTGCTACTCAATTTCGTGATAGATGAGATAATGAGTCGAATGCTGGAAAGCCTTCAAAACCCTGGTGTTGAAATCGCCTGAGACGAAAACCTTGTCAATCTGGAATACGCAGATAATATCGTTCTCCTCTTCGAAGAGAAAAAAGGCACATGTATTTTTGGATGAACGGACCGACGTCATAACGTCCTTTTGTATGCACTTTGCACCCACAAAGTGTTAGATCTTTCTGGTGGACATAATGTAGCACCCCACCGGTGCCTAACTGCCATGCCACCAGGAGGTGGCACGAGCAGGGTGGTCGAGAGGCAGAGATTGGTTTCGAACCACGGACCTTTCGTTTGGTTGCTTTGCACTCTACCCGCTGAGCCATCTCGCCCCCCATCGTGGACAAATGCCACTTACAATCCAGGGAGAGGCACCCGAAGTTGTGGAGCGTGTTACGTACTTGGAAGTTATGTTAGTTCTGAACAGATGGGGTCAATACAGGCTCTGGCCACGTCTGCTAATTTGAGACACTTGTGGCGTCAAAGTGGCGCATCCGTGAATCTCAAGGGACGTGTGCATCAGACTACACTGTGAGATGTGAGACTTGGTCTGTTCGTTGTCCCAGGACCACATCTCTAGTGAGTTGGTCTCAAATAATCCGTAATGAGACTATTAGAAAGCGAGTCACCGGTTGTGCAAAGGGTACTTCCATTGAAGAATGTTTTCGGCATCAGAAACTGCGTTGGCTAGGTAATTTATTGCGCATGCCAAACCATCGTTTGCCGAAAAGAGGGCTGTTTTCAGTGCCCAACCCAAGGTGGCGGAATCAGACAAGTGACCAACTCTTGGCCTGGCAAAAGGATCTCAAGAAGATTTCAAAATGCTTGAGTGTTGCCGGTGCTTGTACCTCCCTAGATGGGGGAGCGTGACCGACACTGCGAGTGGTTGGAGACGCTACAATATATAGCTGCTAATCGATGTCAATTGCGTTCTTGTCGTCGGTTTATATCCAGATTTCCTGAATGAGTGTCCGGAGATGTAGGCACCTCGGAATGATTGCACTTAGCTCATCCACCTACATTCTTTAATCCCCCATGAGGCCTTACAATAAATTATGCTCGTACAACGGTGATGCGTCAGTGTTGAACGCTGTTCTGCTGTCCATGATTATGATGAGGTTGATGGTGAAGCATTCTGATATGCCTACATCTCCAATCTCCCAGCCGGACAATCTTGAAAGAAACTGGTAGCACAGCAACTGGCTTGTTCAGGCATTTTTCCTTGCAATGTACGCAGCCTAGCGCGTGATGAATCGTGGAGACCCCACCCTGAAAGATGGACCACACCAACAACATCCCAGCTCTACGCAATCATTCACACCCACTTTCCAAGTCATATCTTGACCACCTGGCGGTTTGCGCCATCCCGAAGAAGGCACAGAAAAGAGCACTCGTAGCGCTAGACTGTATGCGGCGCAACGCCGAGCCGAAGGAAGTCATAGTCATGGGCTCTTCGTCCGATGAATTCTAGCAGATCATCGTTTACCTGCCCCACTGTATTTAAGGACATGAATTTAGGGTGTGTCTACAAGGGTGCTCCTTCTTCATACGAGTGGCAAAAGTATCTTGTTTTCGCCATGTCTTCCCCGACTGAAGTAGTTGCTGCACAACCAGATACCCGTTTTCTTATTGCTTCATTACGAATCTGGCTGCTCAATCACACGATGGTAGATGTGGTTATTCGGCCGTAATTTGTTAGTCAACGACAATGTCAGCCTGTTTAGCATTTATACACCCCGGGAACCCGTTTCATCAAATCTACCACCAAACTCATTACGCCGACATGGGCGAAATTCGCAGCAGATGACGGGTCACCTAGACCGCCGTTATTACCGGGTTGCAAACCAGCATCCTCATCACTCACAAATCCTGCATGGATTAGTTTCTCCCAACTCCAGTTTCTCCCTGGGTAATATTACTACATTTCGCTGCTTCTCGTGGTCCTCATGTACCACACCTTGATGGAGGATCCCTAGAGGTGTTTGGAGGTTTGCATCCTCAGAACAACAGAGGAGACTCCTCATTGGCAGAATACAAAATCATCCTTGGTGTTCTCGGGTTTGTTGCGCTCTTCATGTTCTCGAAATAAACGGACCCTTGCGTTTTAACCCCGACTCCACTACGCCGATCAGCTGTCCTCCATCGAACCGAATCCGATCATGTCAGTACAAGACTAGCTCTATGTTATCCGGTAGCCCGATTCATGCCCAACTGCAACAGTAAAGCAAAATATCGGCGAGTAACTACTGGTGCTTCCCTAGCAGATGGGACCTATTTGCTTGATCAGGAGTAGCTGGACAAAGGCGTCACTTGTCTCAACTCCTTCCACTGGAGCATTCTGCGCATTCATGCACTTACTGCTTGGACCTGGTTTTTTCATGGGCGTGATGCGAAGATTAAAGGGTTCCGCTAGTGCTCACATAGACTGGACCTATAATCAGGTCTGCATGTTGTCCTTTCGCCGTAGAACTCCATCAATTATATATAGCGTTAAATTCCCTACTACGCCTGATCACCTCCTTATCAAGCCTGCCCACCAGTCGCTTCACGCAGAATGGTTACGCCAGAAGGGAAGCAAGCGAACATTTGGGCTTCTAGTCTTCCTTTCTTCCCCACTCGCTGTAGAGAAGATCTTGGAGCGGGCTAGCAGCGTTCGATGACCAGGCGTCTATCTGAGGATCAATCTCCAGAGGCTCGAAAGCTGGATCGCAGCAGATCAAGGGTAGAGTAGCGAAACAGACTTCCGCTTGGGATCAGTACAGCCGACCCAAAACTCATGGCGAAGCTGATTGTGGTCATAGCCCCTTATGCTCCCGAAGGCAAGCCGACGCGACCGGCCGCATCTCCAGACAGCAGTTTTTACTCGACTACCACATATCCCTCGTCCACCGGGGGCAGTGATGCTCCCGAGGAGGCAAACCTCACATACAAGCAGCGCCCAAAGTACGTGAGGCTATCAACGCTTATCTCCATAACAGACGACAAGGGTGCAGTCATGAACTCCTCACCAAAGCCACAACCTCTGAACTGGACAAGCACAGAAGCCAATCTCCAGCGCCTCTCCGTCAAAAGCGGCCTTTATGCTTGTGGACACGGTCATCGCCCAGGACCCCGACAACTAACCGGAAAATCCCTCGTACATCTTGTCGGCCACGCTGATTGCCGGCGGATCGGGCGTCTACACAAACACCAAAGAAGAGCGACTTCAGCCAAACAAGCCACATAAGATTCGCCGGATTAGAAAAATGCTGGCTGGCTTCAAGGGGATAAGAAGCATGCTCTTCAGGCCTCGGAGAGCTGATAAACAAATGACGGTGTAATTGCCGTGGATGAAATGGATTAATTCAGTCACTAGGTCTGTATGTCATGTGTTTTGAAACTAGAAACAACGTGATGAATCATTAGACGGAAAGCATTTCTGCGCAGCACGGACGGAAAGAGATGCCTATGAGTGGGCGAGAACCGCCGATATCGGGGTAACTTGAAGAATGCCCCACAGACATCCCATGTCTAGCCTAGAAAAACATGGTAATGTCCAAGTCCCCGCGCTTCCTTCAAGTGACACGGCAGCTAAGGGGTGTTACGGCTTAACGATTTTACTGTGAACCGTGGCAGCATCCTGGGAGAGTAGAATTGGTTGCATGCACTTATTTAGANTAGTTGCTGCGCAACCAGATACCCGTTTTCTTATTGCTTGATTACGAATCTGGCTGCTCAATCACACGACGGTAGATGTGGTTATTCGACCGTAATTTGTTAGACAACGACAATGTCAGCCTGTTTAGCATTTATACACCCCGAGAATCCGTTTCATCAAATCTCCCATCAAACTCATTATGCTGACATGGGCGAAATTCGCAGCAGATGACGGGTCACCTAGACCGCCATTATTACCGGGTTGCAAACCAGCATCCTCATCACTCACAAATCCTGCACGTATTAGTTTCCCCCAAATCCAGTTTCTCCCTGGGTAATATTACTACATTTCGCTGCTTCTCGTGGTCCTCATGTACCACACCTTGATGGAGGATCCCTAGAGGTGTTTGGAGGTTTGCATCCTCAGAACAACAGAGGAGACTCCTCATTGGCAGAATACAAAATCATCCTTGGTGTTCTCGGGTTTGTTGCGCTCTTCATGTTCTCGAAATAAACGGACCCTTGCGTTTTAACCCCGACTCCACTACGCCGATCAGCTGTCCTCCATCGAACCGAATCCGATCATGTCAGTACAAGACTAGCTCTATGTTATCCGGTAGCCCGATTCATGCCCAACTGCAACAGTAAAGCAAAATATCGGCGAGTAACTACTGGTGCTTCCCTAGCAGATGGGACCTATTTGCTTGATCAGGAGTGGCTGGACAAAGGTGTCACTTGTCTCAACTTCTTCCACTGGAGCATTCTGCGCATTCATGCACTTACTGCTTGGACCTGGTTTTTTCTTGGGCGTGATGCGAACATTAACGGGTTCCTCTAGTGCTCACATAGACTGGACGACAATGTCAGTTTAGCATTTATACACCCCGGGAACCCGTTTCATCAAATCTCCCATCAAACTCATTATGCTGACATGGGCGAAATTCGCAGCAGATGACGGGTCACCTAGACCGCCATTATTACCGGGTTGCAAACCAGCATCCTCATCACTCACAAATCCTGCACGTATTAGTTTCCCCCAAATCCAGTTTCTCCCTGGGTAATATTACTACATTTCGCTGCTTCTCGTGGTCCTCATGTACCACACCTTGATGGAGGATCCCTAGAGGTGTTTGGAGGTTTGCATCCTCAGAACAACAGAGGAGACTCCTCATTGGCAGAATACAAAATCATCCTTGGTGTTCTCGGGTTTGTTGCGCTCTTCATGTTCTCGAAATAAACGGACCCTTGCGTTTTAACCCCGACTCCACTACGCCGATCAGCTGTCCTCCATCGAACCGAATCCGATCATGTCAGTACAAGACTAGCTCTATGTTATCCGGTAGCCCGATTCATGCCCAACTGCAACAGTAAAGCAAAATATCGGCGAGTAACTACTGGTGCTTCCCTAGCAGATGGGACCTATTTGCTTGATCAGGAGTGGCTGGACAAAGGTGTCACTTGTCTCAACTTCTTCCACTGGAGCATTCTGCGCATTCATGCACTTACTGCTTGGACCTGGTTTTTTCTTGGGCGTGATGCGAACATTAACGGGTTCCTCTAGTGCTCACATAGACTGGACCTACAATCAGGTCTGCATGTTGTCCTTTCGCCGTAGAACTCCATCAATTATATATAGCGTTAAATTCCCTACTACGCCTGATCACCTCCTTATCAAGCCTGCCCACCAATCGCTTCACACAGAATGGTTATGCCAGAAGGGAAGCAAGCGAACATTTGGGCTTCTAGTCTTCCTTT